TGTCCAGTTATCATCGACTGGAGAAAAAACTCTGCCAAGAATAGTTTTAAAGGAAAGAAATGTAGTTCGAATCCAAAGTACATATAGATTATAAATAAAAACCAACAGAAACCACGCTGCAGCAATTAATGAGACAGGGCAGGATAAGGAATTGAAGATTTCAAAAGATAACAAAACACAAACAGTTGAAGCATCTGGAAGACACCAGAACTCAGATAAGACTTGACAAACCAAAATAATTCATGCTTTGCTTTTAGCAAGGAGCTGTGTGCAAACACCCTTTTAAAATCCCAGCTGCAAGTAATGAAGGGAAGCAGGGCCTTTTTCTCCCCCGTAACCCACATTGCTCCCTTTTCAGTTCCTCCCTGTGTGTCCTAAGATGAAGGAGTGGGCCTGGGTCTTCCTCTGAATGCCCAGCTGGACTGTGCCCTTCCCCAGTTTCCTCCACAGCCACTGGAGCCACATTCCCATTCCCTGTCAGTTGTTCGACCTCTCCCTCAGAATCAGATTCCAACAGGGGCCTTGAATTCTATGAAGAACATAACAATCGAAAGGCAGCCTTATTATTTCTAGACGCCCCAAAAGCCTTCGACAACGTAAATTGGCCCTTACTAGTGCAACAGTTAAAAAACATGGATATTGGTGAAAATTTTTTAAAGATAATTATGGCAATATATACATAACAAGAAGCAAAAATAATAAATGGAGAATTGACAAGTCACGTTTACATACAAAAAGGTACAAGACAAGGCTGCCCTCTGTCCCCGTTACTATTCATATATACATTACAGGTCCTAATGAGAATGATTAGGCAAGAAACACAGATTAAAGGATTGGAAATTAAAAAAGAAAATTTTAAATTACAAGCATATGCCGATAACTTAGTATTTTTCTTGGAAGATCCTGAACAAACAGGTCCGATATTATTAGAAAAACTCAAAGAATATAGAGAAGTAGCTGGTTTGAAAATAAATAAAGAAAAAACAAAAATCATAACTAAGAATATGACCAGCAAACAAAGAGAAAACCTGGTTAAGCTATTAGATATTCAAATAGTACAAAAAATAAAATACCTAGGAATTAATATTTTGGCACACTGTTCAACAATTAAGGAGGATGAAAACTTATTGAGACAAATTAAAACAGATTTAGAAAATCTATCATTAATAGGCAGAATTTCGGCAATTAAAATGAACATAGTACCCCAAATTTTGTTTTTATTCCAAAATATACCAATTAAATTAGGGATTTTTTAAAATAAAGATCTGAATAAAATAACATTAAATTTTGTGTGGCAGGGTAAAAGACCAAGAAATTAAAACATCTACAAGATGCTAAAGAAAGAGGGGGATTAGGCTTTCCAGATTGGGAATTACATTATAAAGCGGCTGCCTTAACATGGATTAAGGATTGGATAAACTTAGAAAATAAAAGACTTCTACTTTTAGAAGGACACAGGGCTGGCATGCATATCTGTGGTCAAGCAGACATATGACACACCAATATTTTTTGAGACATAACATTCGACAAGCCTTAATCTCAACTTGGAATAAAATAAGATCGCAAAACTATATGGAAACACCAAGCTGACTTTCCCCCTTAGAAGCCATATCATATCCGAATCTTTACAACCAGAAAAAGGCAATCACATATAAGGATATCCTAACAGAAAAAGGAAGATTAAAACAAAGATTGGAACTTAACCAACAGGGCTTAACATTGGAATAGTGGGCATATCTCCAAGTACAATCCAGATATGAAAGGGATAAAAAAGAATGGGGAATAAATTGTCAAGATAAAATATTAGATAAAATATTATTAGGATCAGAGAAAAAACAAAGAAATTGTATAACTATTTACTAGATTACAAGATGTATGAGGAGCAGGTGAAAGAACCAATGTTAACTTGGGCCAGAAATTTTGGCTATAACATAAATTTGGATCAATGGCAGCAAATTTGGGATCGGAATAAAAAGATTACATTAGCCACATCCAACAAAGAAAACCTGTTTAAGATGTTTTACAGATGGCATCTCCCACCTACCCGGTTAGCCAAAATGTATAGTTCTCAATCACCTATATGCTGGAAATGCTTGAAAGAACAGGGCACCTATTATCATATGTGCTGGGAGTGCAAGAAGATACAAGAATTTTGGCACAAAATAGGGCAATGGTTAGAAGAAATGTTGGACCTAAAAATAAATTATACACGGCGGCATCACATGACATATTGTGAGCTTTCCCCCCCCCTTTGCTAAACTGGGTGTGGGCTTAGTGAACGCATGATGCATCTGGCCCGTGGGCTGCGGATTTGACAGCCCTGGTCTATCTCATACTGAAATCTTGACAAAGTCTCTTCCCTTAGATGACTCATTCCTCACTGGGCTAATACAGTATAGGTAGTGTTCAATTTACAACATTTGTTTATGACCATTTGAAGTTATAGAGGCACAGAAGAAAGGGATTTATGACCATTTTTCACACTTACAACTGTTGCAATATCCACAAGGTCAAATCATAAAAATTTGGGTGCTTGGCAACTGACATGTATTTATGACAGCTGCAGTGTCCCAGGATCATGTGATCAGTTTTTATGATTTTTCTGACAAGGAAAGTTAGTGTAGGGAAGCCATTTAGTTAACATATTACTAACTTAACAACTGCAGAGACTCACTTAACAACTGTGGCAAGAAAGATTGTAAAATGGGGCAAAACTCAATTAACAACTGTTAGCAATGGACATTTTGGATTCAACTGTGGTTTTAAGTTGAGGAATACCAATAGTTAACTTTTGCTGTGTTTTCCTTCCTCTTTTTCTATCCTGAAAGTGAGATAATTCCTGCTGTCTTCCCTTTGCCATCTGGAATTCCCTTTGCCCTTCTGTGCTGCTATCCGTACAAATGGACAAATATTTAACTATTTAATTATTGAAATGTACATAATTTCCCATCCCACACACACACACACACACACAGAAAGAGAGAGAGACAGACAGACAGACTCTGGATAGTTTAGAATTAATTAAAATGAATAGAAGAACAAAAAGAACAATACAACTTAAACGTTTTACACAAAGTGAGTGAGCCAGACCCAACAACATCATATAAAACTTGCAGTCCGTACTATCATTTACCCAAACAATCAATACAGGCTGCCTAGAGCCCTGGCCAGTGAAGGGCAAGTGGTCAGTCCTGCCCAGCCTTCCCCAAGGGGTTTCCCAGCTACGTTTATCTCCTCCTCCAGGCTGCTGATGTTGTGCTCATCCTCCTTGGCCAGGTTGCTCATGGTGGGTGCAGCAGGGGAATATGCATGGGTCAGAGGGAGGCTCACTCCCTCTCCATGCAAGGAGACCTAGCTCAGAAAGCAGTCAGCCTTCTGGCCCGTTGTTGTAGATCTGCGTTTAGAGCCCCAGGAGCAGCATTGTAGGGGGCGTGCATAAGCACACCAATTGTGGCTACCGTCCCTGTCCTATTGTTTCTTTTTATTTTTCTTATATCTATCCCGTGTATTCAAAACTATGTTTATTCTTATACCTGTATCTTGTAAGCGATTGACAAATCCAATAAATACTAAATACTACTGTGCCCGCTATCCATGCCTCAGTTGCCTCCGTGGCCCTGCTGCTGAGTGCTTCCTTTTCACCAGGATGCCAGTAATGTTTCCAATAGTTGGCATATTTATACAAAATGGCAGCAAAGAACTAGAATTTGCTTGTTATCTCTTGAACCTGGAAGTCACTGAGATTTATGCAGTTGAAATGCTGCCCCAAAAGAAATATTATTGAAGAGCTGAATTTAGAAAGGATTTCTGCTGCATGTGTACATGGACAGGTTTCAAACTGTAGCCCATAGAGCTGCTCTGCAACTCACAGTTCTCATCTCCCATGGAATATGAGCAATAGTAAGCATATAGGATTCATCCTTCAACGTGTACAGAAAACTTCCTGAATTCCGTGTCCCATAAAATTACATGAATAGAATGGGTGGACAAGAATAGAAGAGGTGTATGGGTAGCAGCCATCTGTTGTGTACTTTAGATTAAGGAACAGAGGTAGTGATCACTTACTATGGGTCAGTCAACGCATCAGAAAGAAAAAAAAACCTCACAAGGTGGCTATGGAAGTGAGGGTTCCAGTCTCCCAGCTGCAGCCAAAGTAGCGGTCCAGAACAAAAAGAGAGCCACCAAATGGAAAGACAAGCTATTGGTTTTCCTTTCCTCACTAGAAAGATAAGATACTAGCCTCAGTTTCCCCAGCTTTAGTCGAGAACTTTGCCAGCGTTCGTTTTTGCTCAGAAAAGAGAACAATTTGTGGGATTGTGCCACATGATCCAGGAAAGAAGAGACCATTCCTCCTTCCCCTATCATAACCCCTTGAGCTCTGGAGATCTTCTAAAAGTGAGTGAGTGAGTGAGTGAGTGATCACAGGGCGTGGGAAGAAGTGCATAGAACCTGGTGCAGTGGCAAATCAGGCCTAGTGCCTGTGGGGATCTGGCAGGGCAAGATTGGGGTGTGTGTTGAGGACATATGTGCTGCAGCATTTCTGCAATTGGTCATAAGGATGAATGACTGCAGGAGTGCTGCTGCAGATATAACTTTGGGACTAGGTTGTAAATACCTTTTGCGGGGTTTTTTGTAACTTTGATGGTCACTAAGTGATCCGTTGTAAGTCAAGGACTACCTGTATTCAAAAAAATTTCATGATTATTCAATTTAAGATTATTTCAGTTTTCTTTAAGAAAGACAATTATATCCACCAAAAAGATGGCTATTTCCCCCACTATATTTGACAATGATCCACTTGACAATTGCAACAAACTGAAGCAGGTGTCTAGAATAAGATGGGAAAGCAGACAGCAGCACATTTTATTTTCATTTTGATACATCTTGGATTTATGTGAAAAATAAACAGGTAGAAATAAAAAATAAAGGACAAAAGTACAATTTTTTTTCTTAAAAAAGGAATGTAAGTTTTACTATAGACATTAAACAGGCATACTCACATGGCCCACTGTAGCTTTTCATTCTTGATAGAATTATATACAGCCTGCAGAGGTAAAATAAATAATATTATTTATTTATTAGAGGTTATATAACTGCAGTATAATGGCTTTGGTAAATGTTATTTTTTTCTCCATGTCCCTATAATGTTAGAATTTAAATTACTCTACAGAAGAGATTCCCAAAGATTAATGGGGATAAGGCCCAGACTCTCTCCCCTTCAAACGATAAGAATGAACTTTTGAAAGCTGGGTATTTCAAAAGAAATTCTTTATTGAAAAGGAAGTTATCCAGGTACTAGTCAAAACAGGGTCTAATATGCCTCCAGGCATACAGCAGAGATAAAGGGAACCGCTCCCCTTAGTTTGATGTGGATTTCATCCATACAAAGAAGCAACATGTTAATCCTCCCCCCCACCTTGTTTTTTCTGAGAACGTAGTTGAGAAAAGTTTCCCAGGAAGTTTCTTTCAGAGCTGGAATTTTTATGGCCCCCAACCACCGGGCCACGGACCGGTACCGGGCCGTGGAACATTTCCTACTGGGCCGTCAGTTTGCTGGGCGCCGCCATCTTGTTTGACGAGAAAGTGCTTCCGGGTGAGCTTTTCCGGTTGAAAAGCGGCGTTTGGGTCCTGAAGGAATCCTCCCGCCTTAGTTTCATTGAAAGGGGGGGGCTTCGAACGAAACTAAGGCGCGAGGATACTTTCAGCACCCAAGGCAAGGCGAGCCGAGTGACCGTCCCGAAGCCGTCCTGAAGCGAAGCCCATCGACAAAGGTACAAAGGAGGAGTTGAAGGTGGCGGGGAGAAGCGGGGGACGGCTGGCTGGCCAGTCGCTCGGCTCGCCTTGCCTTGTCATGCGTGCTGATGCCGGTACCAGGCCACAGATCATTTTGTGATGCCGGTACCAGGCCACAGATCATTTTGTGATGCCGGTACCGGGCCGTGGCACAAAAAAGGTTGGAGGCCACTGCTCTAAGAGGTGACAAGTTTCCAGGCATCTGGGCTCCAGTCCTCAGTTGTATATCATGTGCAAGTTATACAGATTCAATACAAGACTTAAGATATTCAGGTTACATCAAAAAGGATTACTGGTACCAACTCCCCCCCCCTCTTTCTTCTGCTATTGCCCTCCTCAAAAAATTGAGAAATCCACCTGGGAGACATAAATGGAAGAAAATCCAGAAATGGAGATGCAAATTACAGAAGGAAAACAAGAGACACAGAAGGAGGAGGAGTTAACCAGAAGAGAAGCCAGCAAAATGGAACAGAAGGAACAACAAACAAAACAAAAGGATAAACATGAAATAAAATTTAAAATGCTAATGATCGATGAAATAAACCAAGGGAAGAATAGCCTAGGGGAAAAGCAACAGGGAAGGGAACTTCAGAGAGAACACTTTGAGAGGATAAAAGTAGAATTAGATAATTGGAAAAGGGGACAGTTGAATATAATAGATAAAAGAGAAATGATTAAGAGGGTTAAAAAATGATAGAAAATGGAAGACAAGCTAGGAAGAGATTAATTAATGCTTTACTGAGAATTAGAGACAATGGCTGAGTAGGTTACATGAGTAGGTTTACTATAATCTAAGATATAGAAGCGTTAATTCTAATAAACATGACATTAATATTTTATTATAGGATTACTATCAAAGATATACAAATCGTAAATTGTAATAGGCAAGGATTTAATATAGCAATTGTAAGAAACACAAAACTAAGATCTTATTATAGGATTATTATGTAAGCTATATAACAAAGGGGTTCTAGTTTATCTCTGTGACATTTTAATATCTACACTGAAACAAAAGAAGAGCACGTTAAGTTACTCCAAGCAGTTCTCACAAAACTCCAAAACACCAAACTATATGCAAAATTCTCTAAATGTGAGTTCCACCAAGAAAAAAATTGACTACCTGGGATACAGAATATCCCACGAGGGGACAGAGATGGATCCACAAAAAGTAAAACCTGTCATCGATTGGGAGCCGCCCCAAACTCGCAAACAACTGCAAAGTTTCCTGGGCTTTGCACATTTTTATCATCAGTTACGTCCCTGCCAGCCAGAGAATGGACCTCATGAAACAATGCTATGACTCAAAAATAGCTGGACCCTTTGGATTTGTCAAAACCCTGCACCTCATCAAAAGACAATTCTGGTGGCTGTTTCTCAAAAAAGATATTGAAAGCTGTATTGCTAATTGCCCTGTCTACACTGCTACAAAAAGAAGACAAGGAAAATCCCCTGGACAGAACCAGACAGTGGCAGAATCATTCAGCACACTGGAAAGAGATCTCTATGGATTTTATAGTGGAGCAGTGCAGGAAATACTGTTATCTGGGTTGTAATTGGCCTTTTTTCCCCAAACAGGTTCATTTTGTACCCTGCCAAAAGATCCCAACGGCCAAGGCATTGGCAAAGATGTTTTTAATACACATTTATCACCTCCATGGAGGGGTGTACAATTCACGTCCTCATTTTGGCAAGTGCTTTTAAACCATGGGTTGTCCTCTTAGAATCACCCTGAAATGAATGGCTCAACACAGAGAGCTAATGGTGTATCAGAACAATATTTAAGATGCTTTACTAATAACCAACAGGACAATTGAACTGACCTCCTTCCTTTTGCAGAGGTAGCGTACAATAACTAAGTTCACAGTAACACTGGTTTCACTCCATTCCAGGTAGCCACAGGACAAGAATTCAATCCCATGCCAGAGCTATCCTATCAAGGAACCTGAGATTCCCTCCCTTAATAACCACTTGGCCAGTGGTCAGATTAGAAGAGGCCAGAGCAGCTTTTAAAGTTCAAGTGGACGAAAAACACTGTGATCCTAAACCGTTCAAAGTTGGGGACTGCGTATATTTAACTACAAAGTTCCTAAAATCATTGTAACCCTCTAAGAAACTGGGACCAAAATTCATTGGCCTATTTTCCATCTCCAGAATGATCAAGCCTCTTACGGTAGAGGCTCTTACTCCCCAAGATACTTAGACAAGTTCATTCAGTATTTCACTGCAGCCTACTCAAACCAGAGATCACTTCAAAACTTAGACCCCCTCTTCCCACATCTCCAACTCCCATTATAGTACATGGGGAATAACATTCTGAAAATAAAAATATCCTTGACTCACACATTCACTGTGGATCCACCCAATATTTAGTCACTTGGAAATACCTTCCCTCCTCACAAAATGAGTGGCTAGCCAAACAACTTGTAAAAGCCCCAACATTACTACAAAAGTTCCACCTGAAATACCCTCACAAACCACCCAGTTGTAAATGTAACACATGTTTTATGTCTTCCAGGTGGATTTCTCAATTTTTCGAGGATGGCAATATGTCAGATCTGTGTATCTGCCATTCTTCAATAATACAAGTAATCCTTTTTGGGTGATACAAGTAATCCTTTTTGTTGTAACCTGAATATCTTAATTCTTGTATTGAATCTGTATAACTTGCACATGATATACAACTGGAGACTGAAGCCCAGATGCCTAGAAACTTGTCACCTCTTGGAGAGATAGCAAGAGGAGAAGGGACCATAAAAATTCCAGCTTCATGTTTTTTAAAAAAGTAAAACTAATAAAGTTTATTTAAAAAAAAAAAATTCCAGCTTCAAAAGAAACTTCCTGGGAAGCTCTGCTCAACTACATTCCCAGAAAAAAAGGGCTGGGGGAATTAACATGTTGTTTCTTTGCATTGACGAAATACACACTGGACTAAGGGGAGGGGTTCTAACTCCCTTGATCTAAACTACATGCCTGGAGGCGCATTAGAATGAATATCACCTGGATAAGTTCCTTTTCATAAAGAATTCCTTTTGAAATACCCAGTTTTCAAAAGTTCATTCTTATCGTTTGAAGGGGAGATAGTCTGGGCTTTACAGATTTGGGGAAACTTTCAATATGTAACTTTCACGCCTTTTGGCTCAGATCTTGCTTTTCTTTCATTGCCATCATTTCAAACTCAGTCAAAGTACCTCTTCTCTACTTCAATGGCGTCGGCGGTTTTCTTTCTTGGAATTTGAACCAAGGCAGCTTGATACCTTTAGTTTTCAAAGACAGCCAAAACATCCAGCTTGCATTAGCAGGCAGAAGATTATAGTCACAGCAGATTAAAATGAGAAGTTCACAATATTTAGATAGATGTGTCTACTTTGAGACTAGAGATCTTATCTGGAGAGTCTTACAAATTTTTGCCCAAGTATGGAATCCCTCTATTTAGTATATCTTTGATTCAGATTACAGATTGTGTTGAACTTTGGCTTGTTTAGCAATGAGCTTTTTTTAAAAAAAAAAAAAACAGTTGGCTTTAATTCAAAGCAGGCTTTATTGTCAATGACAACTCATGAGTGTTTTTTCCAATAAGCCGGCTAATAATGAAATAATATCAACCATGAGATTATTCATATGAAGACAAAAATGATTTTCTTGGAGAAATAGATCAGCAAACAGTGCCACTATTTGTAAATACAGGCAGACTTCAATTTATGACCACAATTAAGCCCCAAAGTTTGGTCATAAGTTATTGTGATCATTAAGTGATCACCACATGACCTGACTGAACTTTACAACTGCATCATGGCTTTCCCATGACCCATGTGAGTCATTAACAGGGGTGGGATTCTACCAGTTTGCACCTATTCGGTAGAACCAGTTGTTAACATTCTAAGCAGTTCAGAGAACCGGTTGTGAGGAGGAGGAGGAGGAGGAGGAGGAGGAGAGGAAAAGGAGATGAAAGGAAGGAGGAGGAAGAGGAGATGGAAAAAGAAGAAGAAGAAGAAGAAGAAGAAGAAGAAGAAGAAGAAGAAGAA